ATATATTTTTGTTATAGTGTTACAACAAAGTTAGCATAAATATTTTTAAAATATAATTAATATATTTTTATTATATACTTATTTTTTTAAAAATTTTGCAAAGTATGTATCAGTTTTTCCAAATAATCGAAGCTTCAATATTATTTGGATTGTGAACAGATATTTCATTGAATATAATTGGTATGGGAAGAGCTTCAACTTTTTTACATATACTTGTCGCAAATAAGAGGCATCTGAGAGGAAAGTATTATTAGGTTGTCACTTTTTATGTATATTATGATAGTCATCCAAGTTATAAACACATAGATTGTTTTCATTATTATTAAAATATTTTTCTATTCTTTGCGGATGCTCACTAGCAATTTTTTTTTTATAATTATGCATGGTTTGGTAAGTAACAGAAATTCTGGCATTACTTAGTGCATTAATTGCATTGCATGATGTTCCTGATCCTGCAAGATATAAGGCCAGTTCTAGCTTGAAACTATTGACATGCTTATTCCGTAATCCAGCCATCAAATATAAGATTACAGCTACTTGTTTTTTATCCTCATTTTGGTTATAAGGTGAACGATCATTTGGTATTAATGTATTACACATTTCAGCAAAAAAACCTTTTAGATCTGGGTCTGCATTTTCAAGAACTTCATTAAATTCTTTTGGGTCAAGTATAAGACTTTCTTGTCTTTTTTTATACAAAGCACTTGTCATTCTTTTAATTCAATCTCCAAGTGCTAATTTATTTGATAAGTTTGAAATAGGTTTATCCTTATTAATTGGCTCATCTTCAACGATAATCATAGGATCATTTTCATGAGTTGACTTATTTTCAACAATAATCATATAATGAGGGTTACAAAGTTGCTGACCCGGCTGTAAATAAGAATACCGTTGAACGATACCATTCGCGATTGCCTTTTTCATAGCCAATTGAGTTAAGGACCGAAAAACATTTGGATCTTTATCACAATTTTTAACAACACAGGAACCATTATTAATCTTTTGCTTTGGCATTTTATTATAAGAATTTTAATATGTATATTGTATTTACACTACGCGTTTTTTTTACACGTTTAATTAGTTTTACACTACATATCTATGTTATACAAACGTTTGTGATACTTTATTTCTAAATAAATAACTATATACAATTGAAAGATTTATTAAACTACATTTATTGCAAAGAGTTATTATGCTACATATATATTTTATAAACGCGGATATTTGTCATATACAAAAGCAATGGGCTTATTCTAAACTAAGTATACACTAACCGATAGAGATGCAAACCGACTCATTGAATCTATTGATTTATCGGTTTTTATTATAATAAATATATACAATATAGTCGAGCCGTCTGGCTTCTCTATTAGCCAATCAAAAAATAGATAATTACCAGCCAATCAAATAATTTAAAAAAATGGATGATCATCGGCCAATCAAATGGATTTTTAACTATGCTATAGCATTATGTGCACCTTTTATATGCTATTCAAACGACCTCCCAATTCTAATTTTATGACAAAATTAAACTTTCCTTTAGTAATCTCCTTTTCTGTTAGATTTTGACAATAATTAACTGCTTTGTACTTATCTTCTTCTACATCAATTTAAGGATTCTAAAATTAGAATCGAATACCCCAAATTAATTTGGAATTGATGAATCTAAAAAATTGTTATTTTCACATCGACTATGCATTAATTAGTTTTGTATTATTAAATGTCATAAGTTATTTAGATTATATTTTAACTATATATTTATATAAAATTGGGTAGCTATGGTCTAAAACAAAAGAAAAGTTCTCATTGTTCTGTAAGTTAATTTATGTATGATTATAAATTATTCATCGCTTCGAAAATTAATAATTAGTATGTAGTACTTTTGAGTATATTTTTCTAATATTCATGCTTGATTTAATCAATAGGCTACTTCTCAATAAGTTTTTTATTAGATTATTTTAACTAGAAAGCATTACAATAATTTGTTAATCTATGTTTCTTATTGTTATTGCTGTAAATTCTCGATGTAGTAGACATGTGTGTCATTTCGAATTTGGTCTGAATTAAGCTTACAGTAATTATCATATTAACTAATCGATTAGTTAACTAATTGATTAATTGACTAGAATTAGCTAGTTAGTTAATTGATTAGTTGATTAGTTGGTTAATCGATTGATCAATTATCTATTAAGAGCAAAGGGCGACTGAATTCATATTTTAAAAAAAATTCGGAAAATTGTCAACTCGACTCTTTTGGAACACTAGTTATAATTAAGGCTCACTAAGAGATCTTTATACAGGAAAATAAAGTTTACCGGAATATTTATATCATCTTCATATTCTTGGACAAAAGCTTTTAAGCTCATTTTATTTTTTAAGTTTACAGTACAAAAAGATCTAGTTTAACCTGTTATAATTATTTAAATAGCTTTCCTGGTACTTATTTATGGAAAGAATTTTCTTAGTACTTTATATAATGTTTAACGTTACTTTTATTATCATAAAAAATATTACGGTACAATCAACCTTTCTACTACAAACTGGAACTCTGGAAAAAAAAAAGCTCATTACAGAAAATTATTATGTTTATTAAAAGTACATAGCGTTTTTTATAACGAACTATTATATAGATTGAAAGTTTGAGTTCTTCATATAGAATCAAAAAAAAAGTTATTGAATAAAAATAATTGGTTTCATTGAATAGTTTTATTATTACTGTAATAATGATAATAATAATAATATTATTAATATTAATATTAATAATCATGCTTTCCAATCTGAATGTTTCTATTTATATTCTTTGAAAATTTCTTCATTCTGTAGGTCAGAGTTTCAATTACGCCCAACATCATCTGACATCTCTAATGCCAATACCCTAATACATGATATCATAAATATCAACGTCGATAAAAAAATAATTGATAATGATAATAAATAAATAAAAACCTAATAAAGAAAAAAAGGTCTCGTATGTCGTTTTCACACATAATTTTCACCACTATAACCATCATCCAATTTTTTCTTCAAAAATTTCTGCAAATCTTTCTTTTCCTTCAAATCTTTTTCAATAAACCAATTGAAATTTCCATTTAAAATACATTTAATTTTATAATCGATAAATGGATATAGTTTTAAATACTCGCATTTGAGTTTGAAACATTTGCCTCCTTTGCGTAATCTAATTCTACCTATGGTTAAATGGCATAAACATAAAAGGGAATTGCATCCGCCTTCATTGCGTCGTTTAAATTTAATTCTACCTATAGATAATGATATAAGCATAAAGGGAAATTAATTATATAAAAAAGGCATCTTATAATTTTTTTAATTGATATAATTGATCTAATTGTTTTTTCTCCATCGTCAATAATTTTAAAATACCTAGTTTCGATAAAACTTAAAAAATCAAAAGAAAGGGAAAGAATAATTAAGCCCAGCCAAACTTCTCCAAGAATCATTATACTATGTCTTAATTTTCGATCAAGATCTCTGTCTATAATGGAAAAGGTATTTATTTGCTAAAATAAATCAAAGCTAAAACAATTGATAATGTCGCGCTATATAAAAAACATAAACAAGAAAAAATTAAACTACAAATTTCAAATGTTTACGATAAATTTCGCATGGATTGATTCCTTTGTTTTCGATATTGTTCCAAATCCATACAGAATATCATCAGGGATATGTAAGAACATCGGCTTAAATATTATATCAGTGACATTTGCCGAATGAGCTTCATCAGGTTCTTTATCCGATGGTATATTTAAAATTGCAGTAATAATAGTAGTCACGAGTGTGCCTGCACCAACGATTATAGAAGACATAATTCCACCAATGGCTTCAATCATTTCGGTCTTTTCAGCCCATCTTAGTAATGTACCAACAAAAATAGAACCTAACGCCAATAATATCTGTGCGGAATATAAATTTTTGCGAGCTCTGATATTCTTTTGGAATGATTTATATTCTTCATTTAAAGTCATAATTTCAAATTTAACTTTTTGAATAACAAGTTCTTTTTTTTTCCTTCCTTTTCTTGTTCATTTTGTTGGTTAGACATTAAGTCGACTTTACGCAAATATATAGTCAAAAAACAATTTATAATTTTTGGGCAATTTAAGGATTTTATATTAGATCGAACTATAAGTATGTTGACTGTTTTCAATAGAAATAGGGAAAATTAATATTTAAAAAATAGATAACTTTTACTATTCGAATTTTAGGCTATATAAAGAAAATTTGGGATTGTCAATTTTTCTGTACAGTACGAATGGGAACTGCTATTTGCGTTTTTTTAACACACTACATACATACACACTTTATTGAAGCTGATAATTTAGTATATATTTAAGGTGAGATTAAAGTTTTTAGATGCCCTGAACTGCATGGTGTATGAAATTTTAAAACCTCAGCTCTTTATATAGAGATAATCTAGTAACATATTGAAAATAATTTAATAAATTATCAAGTGAGGGATCTAGAATTCCCAGCCTCTTTGCATAGAAACAATACATTAAGAACTAGCTCTTAAGACCCGGTCGGTGACCGGGTTCGAGTTCCTAATTTTTTGCTAATTCTTTAGGCCTCAACGTTAATAATTCTCAGGCCTTAATTTATAAGACCCGGTTGGTGACCGGGTTCGAGTTCTTAATTTTTTGCTAATTCTTAGGCCTTAATGTTATTAACTCTTAGGCTTCTATATTATTAGTTTATAAGACCTGGTCA